CCTTTTCTTTATGATAATAAAAGTTTTGGTCCTTATATCATTTAAAAAAAATCTACCTCTATATATCGTTAAATTCTTCTAGGTTGATTGAAATTTGCCTAGGTAATACAAAAATTACTAATTCTTATTGGTCAGATTTCTATTGTTTACAATTTTGATTGATCAAATCAATGTAAATCATATGATATCATATGATTTGCAATGTGATTACTATTAAAAATGATCTGCATTCACCCTACTCTTAAACAATTTGGTTCCCTTGGTTCTCGACGTTTATGCAGTGTACTATTGGGAAAGTAATTAGCAAGCATATGAAGAAGCTTGCCTACGTTGTTGGAGCAATCTTTTTCTTCGATTTGATCGAAGGAACTATAAACGCACTCCTTTATTATTTTTTTCTGATATTTGTTATTGGATGAAAATCAATTATCCAATTATTGACATGTTTACTAACCATCTTGCTTTGCTAAGTAATAGTCTAGTAGAAATTTTTCACAGCATTATTCGAAGACGCACCTCCAAGTGTTTCACAGTGGAACAACTGCGGTCAGAGGCGTATTTTACTTTTCAGCACCAGGAGGATGAGTTTTGACAGCATTTTGTAACTTCAATAAAATATCCATATACGTCAAAGCAATTGAGCATGCTTTCTAAAAAATGTTCTATATTGCTTTTAGACATGTTTACAAAGATTCATCAAAAATATAATTTGCGTTCTTTGATTATTTAAACTTCGTCTGACGATATTAACATATACAAGTTTGTTTCTTTAGGTTATAAAATAATGGATCATCATCTTCCGTGAGGCTTCGTTACTACAAGAAAGCCTAATACTACCATTCTTTGTGACTATATGTTTTGCGACGTTGATTCATCTGATGGTGGAATTCTGGTATGCAGTTATGGTTATCATAATATATGTTTACAAAAAAATCAGTTCAAATGCATAATATGCCTCGATTATCTTAAAGGTGAAATTAAAAAGAATGTCAAGGCATTGAAAATAAGCTTAACTAAGGAAGAGGTTGAAATTAAAATTCACAATAAGAATAGCAAAGAGGCGGGAGATGATAACTTGAACAATATAGAAGTAACAGATAATATTACTACTATAGAGAATCAATTAGAAACTGAAAAAAACTATTTCTTACACTGTAAATTTATTTAAAATGTATACATGGTTTATTTTTTTAAGAGTAATTTACAAATAAAGGCTCAGAAAGTGAAATAATTTCAAATACGGACCCGAATTAAAAATAATTATGCGTAAGGGCCTAATTTTTAAAAAATATGTATAAGGGCCCAAGTTTATTGATAGCTGATCACTGAATTACTGTGTCATAAAGTACTATAAATATTTGACTTATAACGATGGCAAAAATCGCATTTAGAGTTATCTATATACTGATTATTAGATAAAGGAATAAATAAAACACTAGCTATATTCATTTTCGCTTAAATATTGTATAAAAAATAATGTTAAACTAGAGTAGCTCTCAAGAGCCAAATATTTTCTATAATAGTAAATATTATACCAATTCCAGTGCTTTACTTGACATCATGGTGGTTTGTTATAACAATAAGCAATTTATACAAAGAAAATGAAATTTATAAATTTTAAAAATTCCTTTTCTCATTTATAATTACTGATTTCAATTGATTGTTACATTTTTCATACGCTTAATTGATGCTTACATTTTTTATATGTTTAATAACTACATTTATCGATGTTTACATTTCCTATGCTAGTAACAATGCTTGAATAACGTTGCAGCCATTTTGGGCCCTTATATTTAATATTTTAAATTGGGCCCGTATTAATTCATTTTCCGGACCTTAATTCGTAAATTCCCAAATTTATTATAAAACAATTAATAATCGAAATTCACGATTTTGATTGGCTAATATAAAATCGGAGGTCCACGGAAGTGATCTGCAATTTGTGTAACCTTGACGTTCGTTCCTGTTCCTGTTATATGGGGTAGTTCCAACAAAATGCGAATTTCCGGCGTTCAGGCTTCAAACTGATAATTTCGCGTATCGCTATTGGCCAAATTACAATTCTTTTGATTAACGTTTCTAAGTCCATTTTAACCTTTCGATGAGTCAACAACTGCAAAGAATCGCTCATAAGGTTCACAGAATATTTATCCCTTCTTTACGTGATGGAACTCGTTTAGAAGCTCGAGTTGGGGTAAACTATGTCGACGATCAGAAGCCCGTTAAAGCCATTATTATCGCACATCCGTATGGGCCCTTAGGTTTGTATACAACGAAGTAGGTTCGCCGCAAACTCAAGTCTCTTGTCTGATTTACTAATTAGCTCTTTTAATCTTTTTAGGCGGAAATTTCTACAATAATGTTGTCGTCACGGTCGAGCAGTATTTCCAAGATAAAGGTTACTTGACAATTGCGTTTAATTTCAGGTAATATTTCAATTCCTTTTTTCCTTAGTAAACTTATCTAATTCCGTGATTTTGGTAATTATTAAAGAGGCTGCGGAAAGTCTAAAGGTCGAACAAGTTGGTCTGGTGAACCAGAATGTGAAGATTACAAAACAATGCTAGAATTTTTATCGAAATCTGGTAGAATTGGTGAAAATACCATATTACAGATTCCCAACATTTCTGATGTTACAATAATAGTAAGTTATTTTATATCATTTGATCTAATTTAAGTTTTTTCTTTTTTTTTATCTTAAAATTGCGGAATTTATTTTTTAAAGGGTTATAGTTACGGTTCACTAATAGCATCGTCCCTTGCCTCATCATCTTCCCAATTTACGCTCCCAACTTCATATGTCTTAATAAATTATCCGCTTTCTGTGATTTGGTTCTTAACATTTTTTCGGTTTTCAACATATTTAAATTATTTACATATTCTCCTTTCTTCAACTTCCCGCGTACTATTTATATATGGGGATTCGGATCAATTTACTGGAGTAAACAAATACAAGCAATGGGTTAAAGATAATAAAGCGGTGGAAAATCTTTTGTGGACTATCAAAGAATTAAAGGGAACTGATCATTTTTATACTTATCATAATATGGAAGATAAGTTGATCAAAGCTCTGGATGAATGGATAAACAATGTTTAGTTATTACAATCTTACAAATTATTAAAACATATATTTTTATTAATTCTTAATTTATTTATTTTATGTTCGAGGTGAGAGATTCATTTTTCAATTAAAAAAAAAAAAAATTTTGACAAGCAAATAATAGAGTGCGTTTAGGCATCTCTTGTGGAAGATATAATTTTTTGCCAATCAAAATTAACGGCTAACTTTTGTTAGCCAATAGTGAGTCATGATTTGGTATAACATAACATGGTCAGAAAAGTCCAAACGTTTTGAACATAAAAAAAACCTCTAATAAAAGCAAATTTATTATATAATTTGCTAAATAATAACCAATATAAATAGAGCTTTGAATATAATCGTATGGCTATACGTATCCTTGATGAATATATTTTTCTTATATTTTCATATTTAGGCAGAATAAATTTAGTTATGTTTTAACTTTTGAATCCCGCACCCCTGCATAACACTTGAATCTCGCTTTCGGCATATAACAAAAAATGATGTTTTACGATTCTACGTAATGCTAAACCATAACCAGAATTATTATAAATTAGGTTAACCTAACTCGGAATTGAGCCAACCTCATCTGTCAAAAAAATAAACAATATATATTTAACGTGTTAACGAATGCAATAACCAAATAAAAACTAGACACCCTTTGAATAGCGATAGACTAGGGGTTTACTTATCGTAGACCAATTGCATATTTCACGTGATTTTGTACTCGTTCCTGACTTCCCCTGCAGCACCAACAAATTTTTCCGGACCCGTGATTTTTTGCCAATCAAATTTCAAGATCAGGTGTAACGTTACACGATCAGGGAATTCAAAACAAACGTTCGCTTTGTCAAAAAAAGTCAAAAATCGCATATTTCTTGAAAATAAGCATAAGAAATCACC